CAGCTAAATCCTTATCGAAAGTACAACACACGACGTTTAAACTTTAAACGTTTGAAGTGAAATGCAATTTTTGCGATCGGGGATTTGGGCTGGCATCTGATTTTCAGAATTCCACCACGCACCACACACGTGGTCACAAGATCGTGTATCCGTGTGGATTTTAAAACGCAGAGCAAATGATTGGCTGCAGCGTTTCACCTACAAACACACAGTCACTACACTTTACAGCATATTCTGCAAAGCGATTTAAGACGGCTAGAAGACGCAATGAGGAGCTACGTCAAATGCAAGGATTATTATTATAATACAGCTGCTGGAATGACGTTCGGTCCCGATAGTACAGTCGTTATCGTTCCCTTATCTCCTGGGTGTGGGCTTTGATGAAGCTGTTGTCTTGCTGTACCTCAGCACCGCACTTCATTAAAAAAAACACGTTTCTCCCCCAGGTCGTACGTGATTTGTATTCAGCTCTTGCTGTGAAATAAGGTTAATAATTTTTGACTGTTTCTCATTACGGGAGCCCACTCTGCCAGCTGGAATCCTGCTTGCCACATAAAAAAACATTTCAAATCTGCCCTTGAGGAAAATGATGAATTGTTTTCACGTTGGACACTGCGAGGATTCCCAACTGCTGTAACTGCCATTCTGCGTTTTTTTAAAAAAAAATAATGTTCCAAAGGATGCATTACTTTGTTTCTGTTTAAAAATAGGAATCTCATTTCTCCTCCTCCCCCTTCTCCTTTATAGCTCCGACTGTTTGATTTATACCTCAGGGCGTTGGGGGAGGGGAGGGAATAAAGAGTGAGCTAATCACTGGCCAGTTCTACCGGTTAAAGATCCCACTGCACTGTTCGAAAGGAGAGAGGAGTTTCTCTCTCCCTGTGTCCTGGCCAACAATCCCCCAAGTAAAATTGGTCACTCACTCCTTGGGACGCTGCTGTGCGCAATCAGCTGCCGCATTTCGCCCACAAAATGTACAGTCAATCCACCTTACAGTATATCCTGTGAAGCGCTTTGAGACGTCTCAACGATGTGATATATAAATGCAAGTTGCTGTTATTGAGTGAGAGCCCAAACAGGGTGGGACATGGACACGCAGGAGAGGACGATGTGCGAAGGTGTAACCAAGGAGAGAGGGAGTCTTTTAGACGAATGTATTGAAATCGTAAGGGGAGGCAATTAGGCAGAGGGTTTGGAAAGGAGGAATGGGTGAAGGTAAACTCATCCACCAATGGGCACAAAGACCTGAGATATAAGAACTGATGGGGTCGGGGAGTGGGGGGTTGTGCTCTGCACAGAGTGTTGTCTCCTTCCCCTCCCCGCCACCCCGTTTTGGCAGAAAGTTGGGGGGAGGCATTTAAAGTTAAGACCGAGGGTCTTAAAGATAATTCATTAGGGTTTAGGAAGCCAGTGGAACTGAGCAAGGCGATGGAGGCGAGCACGAGGAGGAAGTCGGGTCTGGAGATGACGAAGTGCGGTTGTGTTGACATTGAGATAGTGACACAGGGATGAATAAAGATGTGAATAAATCCATTGGCATTTCCAACAAAGGACTGTTGTTTGCTGCCATTAGTTTGTAGCATTCCAGCCACATTATGACTCATCGTAGGTTGGTCCGGAAATGTGTTGACAATAATAATAATCCTTGCATTTGATATAGTGCCTTATCACATCTTCGAGACGTCTCAAAGCGCTTCACAGAATATACTGTAAAGTGAATTGACTATAGTGGGCGATACGTGGCAGCCAATTGCACACAGCAGCGTCCCCACAAACAGTCACGGAAAGCTTGAATGCTAACTATTGTTTTCAGGGTTGTCAACAGCAAGCGGAATGATATCAACATTGAAATGTCGCCCTGTTTAATCCTGCTGCACAGTGTCAATACATTAGAGTCATAGAGTCCTATAGCTCAGTGGTTGGAGCACTTGCCTCGCCAGCGAGAGGAACTGATTTGATTAAAAAATAATAATAATTTGGTCACTCAATCCACGACTGTTTTGGGGATACTGCTGTGCGCAATTGGCTGCTGCGTTTAGCCCACAAAATATAGTCAATTCACTTCACAGTATATTCTGTGATGTCTCGAAAACGTGTTAAGGCATTATATCAAATGCAAGGATTATCATTATTGAATCCTGCCTCTCTCTCCGTCACCACTCTGATGACTAAAGATGCAACGCAATTTAGCGCTATTTATTGAGGACACTTTTCTAAACTACCGCAAAATACCATAAACTCTGGCGCAGTGGATGCAAAATTCCTGCCGTTTTTATGAGCTGCTCTTGTGGACGGTGGGAGTGGAAGCAGCCGATACAACTTACAGAAACAGTCAACTGATAGTCTTGAGATGAGCCTTTTGTGTAAGTGGGGCCAATCTCAGGAAGGAAACCCGGGTCCCTTGTTTGAAATAACGGATACGGACCTTTCTCTTCAGTGTCTCCTCTGCACTGGTCTCTGCTGCTTTTGAGCTCCTTCATCAAACAAAGCCATGTATTCTGAGCAGATTGATCCCAATCTCGGTGTTTACAGATCCAGTCATCCCAGAATGTAAATATTTGCTGCAGTTAAAATAGAGTTTGGATGCAACGCAGTAATGAATAGCAGCTGCGGAAAATCCAGAGTCCCCTCACCCAGATCATGGGATTCGAACAGTTACTTGCAATTGTTGAAGGTGGAGGAGGTGGGGTGGGGGGAAGATTGAAGACTCCTCTAAGCAGCTCCCAAATAAAGCTCTTGATCCCGGACCACTTGCTTGTTACCACCACGACGATTCAATGAGCCACTTTGGTTCAACACCCAACGCAGCATTGCCCATATTTATTGTGTTTTTTGGGGGAGTTTGCTTGCTTTTATTCAATATATTAGAAAGCAACAAATTATAATTTGATACTGTTTGCTATTTGCAAATATTTAGAAGCACTGCGTTAGATATCTGTTGTATTGTATTACTATTAAATGATGTTTAGACTGCTCTTGGTGTTTGGAATGGATTACAAAGCCTTTTTCACATGTGACCCCAGTTAGTGAGTCCAGACTGATTTTCTAGACTGACTTTTCTCTACCATAGAAAACTGAGAACTGTGAAATTAGAGGAGGCAACAAAATCCTTCAAAAATTAGTTTGATAGTGTATGCACGTGGGCTGATAACTGGCAAATTAAGTTTAATACAGATAAATGCAAGGTACTATATAGAGGAAGCAAGAATAGGAAATGCATGTAATCCGTGGATGGGATTGAACTTGTCAAGGGTGTACATGAAAGAGATCTAGGGCTATTAATGGATTTGTCGCTCACAATGTCAAAAGAGTGCGGAGGCAGCAATAACCAAGCCAAACAAGATGCTGAGCTATATTGCGAGATCAATTGAGTTTAGATCCCCAGCTGTAATTCTCAGCCTGTACAGTGCTCTGACCAGACTGCACCTTGAACACTGCATACAGTTCTAGACACTGACATAAGGAGCTGCCTAGAGGCGGTGCAGAAGGGAGCAACGAGGTTGATCTCCAGTGTTAAGAGGAATGACCTAGGAGGAACGACTAGACAAATTTGGATTATTCCGTTTTGAGAGAAGATACCTCAGAGGGCATCTCTTAGAGGTGTCTTATCATTTGAAATGGGATTGAAAAAGTAAACCCACAACAGCACTTTGAAAAGCACCAGGAAAGTGGAACATGAGGTACGTGGGTTTAGAGTTGTGAAGGGCATTTTCAGTACAGATACCCGGAAGTTTTTCTTTACCCCAAAGCTAATTGACAATTGGAAGTTTATAATAACAATAATAATAATCCCTGCATTTGATATAGAGCCTTATCATGTCATTGAGACGTCTGAAAGCGCTTCACGGGATATACTGCAAAGTGTATTTTGTTGGCAAAGCGCAACAGCTAGTTTGTGCACAGTGATGTCCCACAAACAGCCATGGAGTGAGTGACCAATCTTATTTGTGGGATTTGTTGGCCGGGAGACCAGGAGAAACTCCCTTCTCTTTTTGAATAGTGTCATGGCATCTTTAACAGCCACCTCAATAGGCAGATAGGACCTTGGTTTAACGTCTCATCCGAAGGACAGCAACTCCGACAATGCAACAACCACCCCCATCACTGCATTGGAGGGTCAGCTTGGACTATGTGATTCCAAATCCTGACGTGGGGCTTGACCCACAACCTTCTGACTCGGAGAGTGCTACCAGTGAGCCAGGTTCATACACAGGAACACACGGTTTGTCAGGAAGGGTTGTTGAGGCCAGGACACTGGACTCATTTAAAAAACAGCTTGATGCTGTGATGGGAGTACCTATAGGGTGGCTATTCTGGAAGGATGAGATCAGATTGGCTGAAGGGCCTTCTTCATCCAGACTAATTTTGTGATCTTGTGACAAACACCTTCATCATCTGTTTGCTGAGATCAGCAAACTCAGCATAGACCTGGTACCTTACATGTCTGTACCACACAGAGAACATGTTTTACTGACTGAGCTACAGAGGATAATCTTCTATGATGCTTTTTTTTTCCAATTTAAATGCTCGCATTCAAATTGTACATCTATTAATCATTTGATAAATCCTAATTAAATGCTAGCAGTACAATCAAATCTCAAGATGCTTGTAATTACTTTATTTCGATTATAATGATGTTGAGAAGTAAAATTACTGTGTGCACTGATTGATGCAGAGAGTGTGTGTGTGTGTGTGTGCGTGTGGAGATGCAGAGGGTTTTGTGTGTGGAGAGAAAGCGAGGAGGGTGTACATTTGAGGAGAGAGCGAGGTGTGAGTGTGTAAAGAGAGGATGTGTGTGTGGTGTGTGTGATGAGAGAAAGAGAACTGTTTGAGCAGAGGAAGAAAGTGCATGTGTGAGAGAGAGAGAGCGGAGACATATGGAGGAAAACTGTGTAATCTGAATTGATTAACGTCAGCTGCTCTTTTGTAGTTGATGGAAATCTGCTTTGGATGTTTCTGATTGCACCCAGTAAGAATGTGCCCATGTCTCTTTCCTTCAGATGTGTGCTCTTGCCACTGTTGGGAATAAAGCCACCTTCACAGAATCTCTTCCTAGTTGTGGATTCTATCGACGAGGGCTGGAACTGTACTGATGGAGAACAGAGGCAAACGGGCCTGACACAAACAATCGCCGAGATCCTCGCCAGTCATCATGAGTTCTTCCCACCGTGGCTGCTGCTGATCTGCTCTGCCAGGAAGCAGAGTAAAGCAGTGACTAAACTGTTCACAGGTGAGCGAGCAGCTTTCCCTCCAGTTCTATTCCACAGGTGCCAGCCAGCCTCGTTGCAAATGTTTGCTCTCCACTTCTCCCTTGGCTCAGCGTTTCCTTCCCATTCCTTTTGCCTCTTACCTTTGTCTGTGAAACAGGACAGTCTATCCCACAGATATGTTTACAAGCAACAGTGCCATTAAGTGTCTGACCCAAACACTTCCACGGGATGGAGGCAAGACACTCTCTCCCCTCCCCCCCATCCTCATTCAAGTCCAATCATTGCCTTATTTTCACAGGCACCCTGCCAGAGATTGAAACCGCACCTTACATTTCTATAACACATTTATATATTTATAATGTGGAGACCTGTAGCGTATTGGTTAGAGCCCTCACCTCGCAAGCAAGAGGACCCCGGTTCGATTCCCGGGCAGGCCGAAAGCTCAGGCAAGTTTCCTAACTCCACGCTCCTTTGTTTACCTAGCAGTAAGTAGGAACCCGGTTGTTAGTTGATTGACGGATTGCTTTCCACGGATAATAATCCTCGAACAAAATAATAATAATTTGGTCACTCAATCCATGACTGTTTGTGGGACACTACTGTGCACAATTGGCTGCCGCGTTTCGCCCACAAAGTAGTCAATTCACTTTACAGTATATTCTGTGAAACTCTTTAAGACGTCTCAAAGACGTGATAAGACGCTATATCAAATGTCGGGTGGCCTTTTCAACGTGCTGCACGCAGACTGGGAGCCTGAGCTGAAGAAGAAGAGGGAAGCTAACCAAAAGTGTGGTCGAAAAGATGACTCTTAGGGCAGGGATGAAGGGGGCAAGGCGGAGGTGGATGGAGTTTCAGAGAGTGGGGACAGAGTGGCTGAAAACCTGCCTACTGATGGTGACAAGGATCGGGCTGGCACATGAAAGCGGTCAGTGTTTGCTGAGCAGAGGGTCAGCTGGATCAACAGGGTTGCAAGAGGTCACAGCAGTAGGGCAGGATGGGGGCAAAAAGGTAGACAGGATTAAAAATGAGGACAAGGTTGATCTTGAATTAAATTTACTGGGGGATGGTTAGCAATGAGCAAAGGTGGGGGTGATGGGATTGCAGGGCCTGGTACGAGGAAAGGCCGGATAAGGTGTGATAGGTTAACATAGATGCGATTCAAAGCTGGAGATCGGACCGGAGTCACCGGCATTATTTTGGCCATATTTCTCAGATTGCCATTTTATTTGGCCCCCAAAATATACAGTCAAATCACTTTACAGTATATTCTGTGAGACTCTTTGAGACGTCTCGGAAGACGTGACTAGGCGCTATATGAAATGCAAGGCTTATCCTTATTTATCTTCCCATTTTTACAAGTCATCATCCATTACGAAGTTTATTCGCAGTTTTTGCACATATTGTATATATTTTGGAAGCTGTTCATTTCTCTGATGAGATCGACAGTGGAAGCTCGATGCAGAGCGTGTCTGCTGCAGGCCAAGGAAACAGCACTGGAAGAGTTTGTAGGCGGGATGAAAACATTGTGAGCTCTCATTTCAATTTGATTCTGAGGAACATAAGACTAAACCCATTTCTGCTCAGGGACCCCTCTCCGCATGTTTTGGTCCTGTTTTTTCTTTTTTGCCCAACTCTCAACGTGAGGAGAAAGATTGGAATGTGAGATGTGAAAGGAAATATTTATTAGTCAAAACATATTTCTAGAGGATATCCCAGTTAAGCTTAAAAGCTTGTTTACAATCTAGCTTCCTGCCTCATGGTAAGTAACAATCACAATGTGGGGTACAGTGCAGGAAATGATTCTCATTGCAGCACCAATGACAGTCTGTGACATCCACCATTTGTTTCATTTAGTGCTGATCACTTTGTCCATTAAACACACACAACATACTACACTCTACAGTGTATCCTGTGAACATTTTGAAACGTCTCAAAAGACGTGATAAAATATCAAATAAAATAAAATAAAATATCAAATGCAAGGATTATTATTATTATAAACTGTAAGCACCTGCACTGACCCTATAGATTGATTATGCAGTGGATCCTTGTTATAATGTGGTGGTTCAGATCCATAAAATCTCAGGCTTGTCGTTAACAAGGTTTCAGTGTATGGTTTCCCTGCGTAAGTGTGCAGTTCGGCCAGTTTGACCCCTGTGTTTTAGACGGTTCCCGTGCTTGTAAAATGACTCACTTCCGGTCATCATTGATTTTGTGCCCTGTTTCAGTTCAGCACTTAATTCTGCCCTCAAATCATCTTGCTCCAGATCAGCCGATTCCAACCTGTCCATCTTCATCTTGATGATTCAGTTTTACCAGGAGGAATCGGTTAACGAAACTCCACAAATTTCACCACATGTGTGTCAGGGCTAAAATGTACGTTTATATAATGCCATTCACATCATGCGAACATCTCAAAGCGATTAATATTATCTTAAAACGGAGGCATAGGTTTTGCTTTTGTAATTCAACAACCACAATTTGCATTTATATTGCACTCTTCCTGCGCGGTAGCGTCTCGGAGCTCTTAACAATGGTAAAGATTCACGTCGAACTGGAGAGAGAGTGGAGGTCACCCTAGGCAAGGGCAAAGTGCAAGGTCTTCAGATATGATCTCTGAAGACAGGCGAAGAAGGGAGCAAGGTGGAGAGATTGAAGCAGAGAATCCCAGAGTTTTGGGGTGAGGTGGCTGAAAGCATAAGGACAAATTGAATTTATATAGCATCTTTCAAGTTGGGAGGAGGTCCTAAAGTGCTGGACAATGAGGGTTTGAACACGAACTGACTGCGGGATGATGGAGCAGAGTGGACAAGGGATGTGTAGAAGACCAAACCAACTGGGCAAAGGGGAGGTGAGTAGTGGAGCAGGGTGCAAGAAGGTTGGAGAGATAGGAAGATGCCAGGGCATGGATTGATTTGTACGTGTGAGGATCTTGATATCAATCTGGAATAGGGAGCCTGTGGAGCCTGGCAAAGACTGGGGTGATGGGAATGCAGAGCCTGGTATGTGCGAGAATATGGGTGGTGGAGGTTTGGATCAGTTGGATTTCTGGAAGGGTGGAACTGGGGAGATCGCTAAGGAGGGCATTGGAAAAATCGAGTGGGAAATGACGAAAGTATGAATGAGGCTTTCAGCTGTGCTGGGCATAAAATCTGGTCAGAGTGATGTGGCAGAGGTGGAGGAAAGCGGTCCTGGTCAGGGACTGGATGTGGGGAAGGAAGGCCAGCTGGGGATCGAACTTGATGCCAACGATGTGAACTGGCTCAATGAGTTTGACTGTCAGGCCAGGGAGGTTAAGGGGTTCAGAGATGTGGTGAGAAGGCATTGACGGGAGCCAAGGAGTATGGCTTCTGTCTTGTCAACATTTAGCTGCAGAAAGTTGTCCTTGATGTCTGATGAGCAAGAGGACAGAACATCGGTCTGTCTGGGGTCACGGCTGGAGAAGTAAAAGTAGATGTGCGTAAATGTTGAAGTTGATCCCATGTGTGTTGGTGTCAACAAGATGGAGCATGTAAATGAGAAAAAGCATAATTGTCACAACAATAAAAATCTTTCACATAATGTAAGACATAATGCAACTTATACGCTGTACAATGCAGGGCTTAGGTGACTGGCAGCAGTCTGTTATTAAAGATAGATGCTGCCACAATACAAGTACAATACAATACAAAATTACATTTGTAAAGCGCCTTTCACGTCGGGGGGACGGCCCAGGCGCTGAACAGTCAGGGATTGGGACCAGGTGGGGTTGGGGCGGGGAATTGGGAACAGGGAGGGTGGAAGTGAGGAGGGTGGCCAAAGGCACAATGTGCCCTGAAGGAAGCAAGGGAGGGAGCGAGGTGGAGGTAATGTGGGATGGAGTTCCAGAGGGTGGAGGCAGAGAGGCTGAAGGCCTGACCGCCTACGCAATGATGCAATGAACAAACCAATCATTTTAATTCGCTGACATAGAATCAACTCCCTCTGTACACAAGTGTTAAAGTGTGGTTTACAATTGACGGAAAATAAACATGTATTTGCAAATCCTGCATAATAGTCCCCAGTGATAGTTATTCAGTGCTGAGACCGGGTTGAAACCTGCTGAGGGTATTTTGGACCTTGTGTTAATGATATGCATGACACATCATAATCCCCAGTGTTAATGGTACATTGTACAAGGCCTTTCTAGTAGGTAACCATGGAGAAAGAGAAGAGATTTCATCAGATCAATGTTGCCTTTCATCAGATGAGTATTGTACCACAAATATTCATCTACAAAAGCAGGCAATCCTGTGAGGCACTCTGAGATGTTTCAAGGAAGTGATAAGACTGTCCCAACGCCGCGGGACGTCCTCCTGACGTGAAAGGCGCTATACAAATATAATTTGTCTTGAAGCTGGAGTCCTGTACCTTAGTGGTTCAAGCAATCACCTCGCAAGCAAGAGGACGTGGGTTCAATTCCCGGGCAGGGCGAAACGTTAGGCAAGTTTCCTTGTTCCACACGTCTCTGTTTACCTAGTAGTAAGTAGGAACCCTGTTGTTAGTCAATTGGCGGATCACTTTTCCGGAGAGTTAATAATCCCTTCAAAATCCCATCACAAAATATACAGTCAATTCACTTTACACTATATTCTGTGAAGCGCTTTGAGACGCCTCGAAGACGTGATAAGGAGCTATATCAAATGCAAGGATTATTATTATTATAATTTGTCCCCCGCCCCAACCGCCCTACCATCGGTGGCCGGGCCTTCAGCCTCTCAGCCCCGAGGCTCTGGAACTCCATCCCCCAGTGCCTTCGCCGCTTCCTCCCTCTCCTCCTTCAAGGCCGGTCTCAAAACCTTTCTCTTTGACGAGCCTTCAGCTCCCCTCTCGACTCTCTTCCCCCTCCTCGCTCCCTCCCTTCCCTCCCCTCACCCTGACCATTTCCGCCCTCCTCGCTCCCTCCCTTCCCTCCCCTCACCCTGACCATTTCCCCCCCTGCTCGGGTCCTGACCCAACTGTGCAGCGCCTTGGGACGTCCTCCCGATGTGAAAGGCGCTTT